AAAATGAAATTGTATGTGTTAAAAAGTATTACCAAAGAAATAGGAGCCAAAATGTTTGTTCTATTAAACTGTGAATACGGTCAGAAAAATGCCACTAAATTTGCTGTTACTCCGGCGGTCATCCGGCGTTGGTCTGGCGGTGGTCCGACAGTGATCCGACAACAAGTGACAACTTTTGTAAACTAGGGAACGGAAAGGTTTGCTTAAAATAATATTAATGTTTGATTTGTCCAAAATACCTTTAATGAAAACATTTTAAAAATGGTTCTTAGGGTTCTTAACGTTTTTGGGTTCTCATTTGAACACTCCCTATATTATATATATATATCTATATATTATATATTATATATATATTATCTATTATATATATAATATAATATATATATATATAACGCAAATAAATAAAGTATATAAAAAACGAAAAATAAAATTAAAAAATCATTTGGTGTAATTTTTTGCAAACTACAGGGACCAAATTTGAACTTTAAACCCAATTTTAGGACTGATTTTGCAAAAAAATAAAAATTAACAAAGCTAACCATGAAACTCATTAAGTGGGCTAGAGTGATAATTCAGCGAGAAAGTTATGGTCATAGCAATAATAAAAAAATATTAGGGCTTTTTCCAATTACGCGTCATTAAGCTCCATAAACTAAGGATGAAAGTCTTCTATAACCAATTATTTGCAACAAAACAATGACGTTAACATCATTTTGAACTCATCATCATACATATAATCCATTTCTCACACAAATTTATGTTACAAGTATTATAATATATACAAAATAAATGTTAATACAATCTACATAAAAGTAGATTAAAGGGAAACCAATTATCATGTTCATATAAGAAATCATTGACTGATGACAAACCAATCAATACAATAGTAGGTTAGGTGAGATTGTATTCTAAAGAAGTGCATGCGTTTTATCCTTAAATATTTAGCATAAAATTAAATTTGGAAGCTCCAAACACCAAGACCGTAAGAAATGCGGTGTATGTTCTTCTCTGGACTCACTTCTATGATCACAACTTAGTTTTAAACATTCATGTGTCAAACCAAAGTGATCATAGAAATGAATCCTTAGAAAAACAAACACCACATTTCTTACAGTTTAGTGTTTTGGAGTTTCGAAATTTAAATTTATTGACTTTTGAAGTAATTGATTCATGAAAAAATTATTCATATATGCTTGAGATTTAAGGATAAAACTCATGCTTTTCTCTAGAATTCATACAATCTCACCTAAACTACTGTTGTATTGATTGATTTGTCATCAGTCAATCGTTACTTATATAGTCAATGGTTACTTATACAAACATTACAGTGAATTTTCCTTTAATCTACTTTTAAGTAGATTGTAATAAGGTGTTCAACACATAATAATTTGAATATCTTATAATACTTGTAACATAAATTTGAGTGGGAATGAATTCTATGACGATGATGAGTTCAAAATGATGCTAACGTCATTGATTTGTGGCAAATAACTGGTTATATAAGTTTTGTTTTATGGAGGTTAATGACGTTTATTCATATTCATAATTTCAACCAAGAATTTTCCGTATTTTTAATGAAAGGATAAATTTTTTGAAATACATAAAAAAAATTAAGACTTTTTCATAAACTGATCCAAATAATAAGACTTTTCTGCGGGTAAAAAATAGTTTGTCGGTAAAAAATGGCTGATTTGAATTTTTTCTCCGATAATCTATATTTGTTTGCAAACAAAATAAAATTTATGACTTTTACCAAAAATTAGACCAAAATATTAGAATTTTTCTGAAGATTTTCCTAAATAAAATAATCGCTTGTAACTTGTAGGTTAAACACATCTCGGAATATAATTTGAGTTTTTTTTTTTGACACGAACTCATTAAATTTCTACTCTATTTAAAACTAAAATAAAGCAACCAATTAAAGGTGTTTCTTATTTCTAAGGTTAGGTTGAAAAAAGAGCTTGATTCTGCGTTTCAAAATGAATTAATAAAAAAAATTAACTTTACTTAAAATAATAATAATAATAATAACAATAATAATAATAATAATAATAATAATAATAAATCTCAAACTTTGATCATTGTAACCTTATAAAGTATAAAGATCAAAAACCCATTTTTTGGTACACAATCAAACACCTAATACCTTCGTAAACATAAACACAAAAAAAACCCTAAAGAGATCACTTAATAATCCATCAAATTAGAAGAGTATCAGACAGATTATAACTCGAAATCAAGTAAAAAAATAATAAAAAAAACCTCTATCAATGTGCATTTAGTCTCCATAAAAAAAACTACATTCATTCCCTTCTTTTCGGGGTTTGGGTTAATGATCAAATGCAATGTCCTAATTACCATTCTGCCCTCTTGTGATATATGCTCGTCAAATTCTATCCACCTTGCATCAAAACAAACAAATACAAACCAAAAAATTAGCAAATATTACATTCAAATGATTCTTTTTGATTTAATCAACTTAATAAGTATAAGACGTAAAGATTGTTTCTCTTTGTTATAGTTTGAATCAAGTATATTGTACAAACTACAAACAAAGATTATTTCATTTTTTTGACTGAACAAAACCGTCCAAATATCAATAAATGACCATTTTACCCTTCTCAAATAAAGTTCTTGCTACCCTTATAAAATCTATTTCACTAATCTTCAAGTAATTATCACACAACCAAGAAACAATTGTTCAGGGTAAAATTTATGAATATTGTGAAAACTTTTTTGTTGGAATGTAATGGTAAAATGGTCATTAGCCACTTTACCCATACATGACTTAACAATGGGAATAAAAAAAATATATGAAAGCCGTAAACATACCATACAGGTGATGATGCAGGGGCAATTACGTCAATTCAACAGCGAGGGGCACAACCGCAAGGCTCGAGGTATTGGTATCTATCACAAGTTAAAAACATTGTGAATAGAAATATTAAACAAAAAGAGTAATAAACAAATGATTTAATTCATTAAATACCTTCGGGTTCCATTTTAAGCCAATCTTGCCCACAAATCAAAGCTTGTCTAATATCGGGATCAACCATCCTCAAATGATGATCAACCACTCTCCCACCACTATGGAATGCCAATTCCGGAGTCAAAGTCGACACCGGAATCCCAAGTATATCCCTCGCCATCATTGACAGAATCGGGTACCTTGGAGTATGAACTTTCCACCAATTCAAGATATTAAAATCATGATTCCGTGGAAACACCGGTTCCTCCAAATACTTATCAAGATCCGAAACCCCACTTTGCTGGTTTCCAGTCTCATTTAAGAACTTATCAAAACCTCTCAACCGATCCCTCACCACATTACCCGTACCCACTAACCCGTTTGACTGAGTCGACTCGGTATCACCGGAACCCGGTTCACTCGAATACTCATTAAAAAGCTCCCGTACCCCCTCGGAAACTTCCCGAATCCGGTCCGGAGCATCGGAATCATAAATCTGCTTATAATAGTACTCCACCAGCTTCATTTTAAACCTCGGATCCAATATCGCCGGAATCGCCAATGCCGACCCGCATTTCCCCCAGTATTTGTTGAATTTGCCCTTCATTTTTTCGGCTAGTGAACGGATGAAATCGTCCGCGGATTTACAGTAATCGATTAGTTGGATATGAACATCGCAAATCTCCGGGAAGTATATGTTTGCGGTGGGGTAGTTGGATTGTGAAAAGACGAGAGTAACCTCAACAAGAAGCTTCATAAGTGAAGTAACGGAAACCACCCAATTCCATTCCTGATCCGATAAAAACATGGTGTAGTTTTGATCGTGTTCCTGGAGTAAATAAAACGCGCCACGGTGTTCAATCGTGGATTCCAACATAAAATATGTTGAATTCCATCGTATTGAATTATCAAGAAATAAAGATTTTGAGGCGTTGACCGAAGCCTGTTGACCAAATTCATTGAACTTTTCTTGAATTGACATCGCGCTTTTCACGTATCGGATACTTTCACGGATCTTTTCTGTCATGGGTTTTAGTGATTCCATTGTGTCTTTCATGAGGGATTTTATAAGATGTGAAGAGCATCTTATATCGAACAATTCCCCGTTTTTTAAAACGGGTCGGTTTTGGGAAAACCATTCTTTTATATGGTTGTAAGAGGAGAAATCATCGAGAGTCAACGAGAATAATTTCCGGTCAACTTCCCAATCGATTAAACATTTTATGATTAAATCGGATAACGAGTCTTCTGTTTGTGAAGATTCCAAAGTTAAAAAATTTAGAATCTTTTTCTGCAGCTTCCATTGATCATCGATGTAATTCGCTGTTAAGCTTACGTATTCGGTGTTTTCTGGCGACCACCACATTCCGGCGGAAACACTGATTCTCCCGGGGAGATTCCGGAGGATTTCAAACACTTTTTGTCTTTCTTTTGAGTAAATTGTTAAACAATCGGATTCGATTACACTCGTTGTGATAACTTCAAACATTGGTTGAAGATTTTTAACAAAAATCTTGAATCCAACATGTTCAACCATGGTAGGGGGGTAATCATGGAGCATGATCATACGGGCTAAGTCAAACCGGCTTCTTTCTTGGTCAAACTTGACACTTCCAAGGTTGACTGTTTCTTCCATCTTTGGTTCTTGGTCAAACTTGTATGCAATTGGGATTGGGTTGTCTTCTTTTCTTTGTATGTCTTCATAGTTGACATTTGCAATGCTGACTGTATCGTCTTTTCTTTTTCTTTTTGCAGCGAGTATTTGTGACACATCAAAATTGGATCTTTTTAAACATCGCATTAAATGGTTTCTTAAATGAGTGGTGCCACTGTTGCTTGATCCACTTAGTTTTTTTTGACAGTGTACACAAACTGCATAACATGCATCGGCTTTTCTCACCCTTTCAAAGTGGTTCCATACAACAGATGTTAATCTTTTTGGTTTCTTGGCGGGTGTTTCAGCTTGTATTTCCATTGTATAAACTTGATGGAAACCTATTTGATTGAAAAAAATATATAAATGGATGTCGTCAGTTTATAAGAATTAGAAAAAATTGTGGTAAAAAAGGGCACAAAATACACACAAGAATCAAGAAAAACAAAATTGAGATGTAATATGTATTATAGACTGTTGTTGAAATTCATGGCCAACAACCCAAAACTAAGCTTTTTCCAGAAATGAATGGTAACCCAATTCAATTTTTAGTATTTTTTTATAAAGTTTCATGTGCGTTTTGCTGAAATTGATGATCCATGAGGTCATTTGGCATCTGAAGTCAAGGTGGGTAGGATAATGAACAGAAAGTATTGGACTTTCAAGCATGATTACAAGAGAAAAACAAATTAAAAATGCAAAAAATAATCCTATATGATGACATCAATTGTTCTTAATTCAATGTTAGTTGCATGATCTTGCAGCATCAAAGAATTACAAAGCAGAAACAATCAACAACACCATGTTCCAAACCCTTAATTTCTTCGGCCCCTTTCAAATACATATTTCCACCTCTAAGATTCAGATATACTTCGATTTTGTAACACAAGTATACTACTTCTCAAACGCAAAAAGTGACCCTGATTTTGCATAGTTAGGCACGATACTATTATATATTATTCAATTTGTAGTACTTATTTTTGAAGAATTATCGTATGTGGTGTTGAAAATATCTAAATTCATATGAATCGAAATCGAAATTCAAAAGCGTAGCTACTCCTATGAAGGATTGGTACTTTCTAAACTAACGAAATTTTCGATGATCGCATCAATACACACAAGACCACAAAAAACAAACACCCAAAGTTGCAGATTCTTTGTAGGATGAAAGCAATAGCTCGACATCAGTTATCAAAAATAAGAAAAAAGGTAAACACGGGTGTATTAACCATGAAGAAATAAAGAAGAGAGATTCGCACCTTTTTGCAGCGGGTTTGTTTTTGTATGTTTTAAATGTTCTCGGTGTTCGTGTATCCCAGAGTCCGATTGGATGATCCGGGAAGATTATGTAAGGTTAGGGTTCGTTTTGTCCATGGGGTTGGAAGGAATTGGAAAGAGGATCTGGATGCGACTGAGAACCCGAAGAAAACCCCGATTTGGGAGGTGGATGAGATCGAATTGGGTCGTGATTTGGGTTTTCTTTGGTGGGTTAGGTTTCTGGTTTCCCGAATCTTTTGGGATGGGGTGTAATGGGTTTGCGGTTGTGATTGCTGGATAGTGGATCCTATTCCGGAGTATGTGCCAAGTTTTTTATTTTTCCTTTCTTTTTATTTATTTATTTTTTATGGTGGAGGATTTCTCATACAAAGTCATTAGAATAAGATCCCCATAATTCCACTTCTTTAAAATTGAATTCAAGAAAATACTTTTTTGATTAATATAACAACTAGGTTGTGTATTAAAAAATAAATTTGGTAATAACGATCATGAAATCTATTCACTGAAATGTGATGGCATGATGATATTTAAATGGCAAAAAGTTCAACATTTCTTTTTTGTTGTGATTTGTTTTAAGGGCGAGATTAGATTAGAAGTTTTGACAAGGGTTTGTTGCATATCTTTTTGATGATCCTCCAAACACTAAAATGACATATTGACGCCTTAGATTAGAACTAACAAAGATGCGTCCGTAGGACAACTTCTTGATATTGAGAAAACCCTAGATATATAGGTTGTTTTTTTAATCCAATATTATTTGTTGATGTGAGATCGAATGTCACTGTGTAGGGTTCAGCTCAAGGCATACTATGTATTGTTATTTATATGTTTGTATTTGTCATTTGTAATCAGGCAAGTTATCATATTTACTATGAAGAGTTGAAGCATGCAATTCGGATATGTCGACCAGGACCATGTCAAAACCAATAGCCCAAGAAGGAAGAACCTTCAGAAAGATATATCCGACAATCCAGTCGCACGAGGTTTAGACTTCCATCAGCTCACCAGTTTATAGATATATTTACAAAAAAAACTGTCTTTTTATCTATTTTTTGACTTTTAAAGACGGTTTGAGTATGCATGAACCTCCCACTCATATTAAGAGGGTGTGTTAAAGTAAAATTAATAGTTTTTTGTATCGATATATATAGTTCTAGACCCCTTTGTAATATGTTGTACTATTTATACCGTGAGCAATGCAATACAAATCCTACGAGGATTTCCATATTCCAAAAGTTCTTGTGGTTTGGGGATTAGAAGTGCACATTAGCTAGTTAAAACCGAAACCAATCTTTTAAAAACTAGTTTGGTTTTTTAATCGGTTACGGTTAAAACTTAATTGGTTTTGATCATAATCATTATAATCGGTTTCGATTGTGGATTAACTTGTGTTTTAAAAAATGGTTTCGGTTAAACCTATAAAGAAAACTTTTTTTATTCAAATTTTACCCCAACCAAATAATATTGTATTATATTTGATTTTAAAATGCAAATAAAAAAAAACATAGTTTGAACTTCGAATGACATAAAAACATAAATGTCAAAATCGAAAATACTAGCAATTATAGTCTTGAAGTTGGTCGTTTTCATATGATCAAATATTTTTAATCCAATAACTCTTCAAATTCACCCTCGTCTACTTCGGTCATTGGAGGTGATATCCCATGTGCAACTTTTTATTCTAAGATGAACTTTTCGATGGGTGGTAAAAGTGGTCCTTCAAATGAAACGTAATTTGGTATACTTTCAATGTCTTTTAAGTAATTCTTCAAGCAAACAAAATACTTCCATCGATTGAAAGGTGAGTTGTGACCTTCGTTCCGATATGACCCTGCCGTGAAGAGAAAAAAAATTGAAGCTACCGTGGAAGCTTAGACACTTATTAGATCACTAATTGTGTCAGAAATTGTGGTTCTATTTCTCTCCACCAAGCCAAAATGTCAAGGTTTTCGAATTCATCGAGGAAAAAATGAGCTAAAATTTCTGATGCCACATAGTTGTCCAATTTGCTACTCATGGCTAAAATTCGTTGGTGTTTAATACAGTGTCCTCCATCAAAGTGTTATATAGTTGGATATTCACATCTTGATCAATGCTAGATGATCCCGCCATCCCCCTCCGCATATGAAAGTATTGGATTACTTGGTTTACCATATTTGATCACATAGTGGTGGAATAGTTTTTTTTAAGTGTTAATGAATTTAAAATTTTGAAATTTAACGAAATATAGTTCGGGTTCACTTAAACTTAAAATTATTTTTCCCATTAAAACTATTACACCGCGTATATTTAAGGTAGGATTTATGGCACTAGCACATGTGAAAACCAAAGGTAACTCCCAAAAATATTTTAAACTTGAGTTTGATAACACTAACCATGTCAAAAATATTGAATTAGATGAGCATTCATATTGAGATAACTTTTCCGTCGTAACAAAACTTTGATTTAAAATTAAAAGAATTGTAGGGTAGTAAACACATGATATTAAAGTTGTTGTTTCCTTAAGAACTTGTAGAAATTGGTTAATTCATGGAGTAGTACCCAATCCGATTCGAGGATTGAAACATATCAGTGTTTTTTGACAAGTATTTCATTAAAAGCATTTATCGTAAATTTTTGTTATAAAATACTTTCAAACATAACACAAGTATAACTTCACCTAGTATTATTGTCGTAATTAGGGCCCAAACAAGGTTCATTTCACCGGTGGAAAAAAAAACAAAATTGTGTTTGTGGTTCGTTCCTTAAAGCATAAATCGTATTTAATAAACCTTTAAATTTTGAACCAAAACTGTCGCAACCTTATAGCCCAGCTTGCACGGTTATATTAATAATATGTGCAACATACATGGTATGGAAAATCGTCATCTAAAATAGGTTTTAGTCGATTTATGACATTTGTGTTGTTTGAAGCGTCATCGAAAAAAAATAATAAAATAATAATAATAATAAACTATATTCTAATTTATATTCTACCATAACATCTTGTGAAAATTTTCTTAAAATCGTACCAATATACAGATAGCTCATCATCATGGTAACGGCAAACTACCGTTTGACATTTTCATAGGGGCAATTCAAACATTAATAGTAACGTTAATAGTATGAGACGATGAATTATTGTAGTTTTCAAAGCCTACAATTATTTTGAATTTTTCTTGGGCCCAAAGTCTAATGGCATCTCATCGGAAAAAAAGGGTCCAAAATAACAGCCTTGCAAGATTTATAAAACCACTCCAAAACCATCGGACCGGTTATGGGAAAAAAAACCGGTTGCCTTTTTATACTAGTTAAAAACCTGTCGGCTTTATACACCTCTATAACATATGTGTAAAACAGTCCAATATTGAAATTGGTAGTATTTCGACCCTTATATGCATGGATGTCACAAAATCTTCCTAAGGGATAATCCAAGTGAATGCAACTTCATTAGCAAAAAGAAATGATACAAGAAAAAGTTAAGATATAAAACACAAAATGTTAAGAACGAACTATAAGAACCGTTCATAGTTTATAGAACATTAACTTTCTTGTTTGTTTAATTTAATTTTAACACTTGGTTTTTATTTAAAAACACGTCAAAGTTAATAATTCTTTATTCGAAGTCGATATTGACATATTTTCAAGTAAAAAAAAATATGTTAAAATATTTAAAGTTTAATGAAATTCACAGTTTAGTTTTGTAACATAATTTTTGTCTTTAAAATATATCATCGATACTGATCTATAACTATTAGAAATTAAAAAATATTTTTTTATATGTTTGATTATGTTTTTGGATAAAAACAAAATTACTAAATTGTAAATCATGTCTACTTACACAAGCAGCTCCATCCAAATGGATAAACATTAAAATGACAGTTATAAGGCTGTTGATAGCAGTTTCAACTTTTTTTCTAATAAGAGTAGAAACAATCCCATTTCCGTAGTAGCTACCTATTTTTGCATCATATTCTAGTAACTAAAGGAGTAACAAGTTCTTGAGTGTCTACATACGTTTAATTCCCTACTTTTAAGTGGACTTTTCACCAAGTAAAAATATGTCTGAATATTCAAAAAGATGACTTACAGTAGATTTATTTTATACCCAATTGCATATAGTCGGTTGATCTTCTCTCTTTAAGTGTTATCTACAACCTGTAAATGATAAAAATAAGCCAAGATAACAGTGTTAAAAGTTAAAACGAAATGGCATATATTAAGAAAAACTAAAATCATCGAGTAAATTAAAACCTAAAAATACGTTACTTACGTGAACAATTGAGGTCGGGTACGAGAGAGTTGAGGCCTTTTCATTGGTGACAATATCAGATTTCTCAATGTCATCGAAGGATTTCCCGCTCCACCACCACCACCGCCGCCGCCGCCAAACATCTGGCGACCAATAGTTCTTTTGTTTTCAACTGGATTGACTGAATGTTTTACAGGTGGGCTATTAGGGATGTCGAAGGGCCCACCAGAGTTAGAACTGTTTTGTCTTGTGGTTGCTGGCCATATATCTTCCCGAGGTCCTGGAGTGTCAGGGGTGTAAACCGACCAATCTGCAGCAAATAAGTGAACTAGCATTTCTTGGGCAATACCAAGTAAATGAACCCTTATATTATATATAGATCTTGTAACCCCAAATTTCAATGTACTTTGTTTTTTTATTTCAGGATAATATTATTAAAATAACTTTTGATAAACAAAATGAGATTACCTTTCCTCATGGGATCTCTGTTATCCATCATGTTAGCAGGACTAGCAAACAGATCAGAATCACCACTACCCCTTGAGAAGAAGTTGTTTGCAGGTTGAATGGCTGACCGTTTGACCGACTCATACTCACTTCTCAATTGGTCATACATCTCATCCAGTTTTCGCTTTTGCCTGTCAGTAAAAAAGTAAAAACATTGATGAAAGTGAAACTTTAATTTTACTGTTTGTAAATTCAGGGGACACGTGGACAAGTGGCTGCTGACCTGGATTTCTCAGAAAATTTTTCTTGGAGTTCTTGTTTATCTTTGGATAAGTTTTGAATTTCTTGTTCCATCATTTGACACCTTTTGCCCATTTTCTGATATGCAGTGTGCAACTGTTCCATTTTTTCTGTGAATTTTTCTTGCATTGTCTCGCATTTTTGTTTGCACTGAGCTACTATCCTGTTCATTTTGAATTGCATTTCGAGTTCCTTTTGTCCAATATAGAACATGACACTTCTATATGCACTCTTCATTACTTTATTTGTGTCAAGGAAAGATAAAGATATATATATATATGGATCACATACATAATACATTAATATGTTTGATTACCATATTCAAGTAAATAGGATACATATTTGTGGAGATATGCCAGCCATAGCCATCTGCAGAGATGCATGTGAAGGAAGTTAAGATATATGAATACTGAAATGTAAAAGTAATTACTGAAAATCAATTTGGATATTGCAACATTATACTGAAGTAAATATTTTAACAGAAAACTCTTCCAGATGTGCTTTCTTACATTTACCCATTCTTCATTTGGGTTGATATCCACAGGTTTCATAAGACTGAAAGCAAAAACACATATTAAGTTTATAATCAACTAAAAGGTGAGAATAGATAGAAGTATATGGATGATACATAAAGGAAGGAGAAAACTAGAAAGTACCTTTTGGAAAGTACTTGATCACAAATAGGGCAAGCTGCATCGTTGCTTAGTATCTTACTGGCATCTTCGTGACCTTTGAATCTCATTAAGGAAAATAAGTTGTGTATCATGTCATTCGCTGATTGAAAGAAGTGTAATTGACTTCAGTCTATAAGATTATAAGTTTAGGATACACAAGAGATGGCCACATGTGGTAGAAATAGCTCTTCCTTCCAGCTCCCTCCAGCATGCGTTACACCTCATTGTAGTGTATATGATGATCTTCAGATGATTTGATGCTCCTTAGTCCTTAATAATACCTAATGATAAAGATTACCATCTGAATATGAGAAGTTTGCACTTCATTTTTACAAAGGGCAAAACTTAAGGAAAACCAAAAAACTGTGACTATAGCTATGAACAAAGCCATTTGATCAATTGTGATTACCATTAAACATGACTACCTAAAAGCCATATGCACACTAATCTGAACATATTAGAATATGAGAGTCAACAAGATGACTACATTGTATTATGTTGGCTCACAGAAGCAAAAACTTTGCATTGTAAAAAGAACTGAATGACAAAAGATGATGCCATTAAAGATGACTTCTGTGTTACTGTTTTTGAAGAAAAACATACTCAGTAGTTTAAAAATATGAGAAGATGATGACAGATGTCAACGATGAAGCAATTTTAAGCTTCTAACAGCTTTGGGATAACCAAAATTACTATAAGCATTGTCTGATTTAAACTATTTAACCTGACATGAGATCTACTTCGGAGTTCGGGCATCTTCTGAATTAGCTATGTAAAACCTTAAACTACATGCCTCTGAGTGTTCGCAAAAGTAATTCAAACTTCACGTTCAGCATTTAATGTTAGGCGATTAGTAATTTCACTCTGTTTCTTAAGTTTTCTTTCAATGCAATATGTGATATGATGAATTACTACAGACGAACAAAAACTTATGACATGAAATAGAAAAAGAGGACCGGAAATTCACTACCTTCAATTTCGGAAATACCGATAGAATCAGCGTAGTCCTGAATCAAACTTGAAGCTCAACTCGAAATGACTAGAACAAGTTACGAAACATATCCGATCACAGCTTCAAAAACGATAGGATTGCGATCAAGCACGAAAATCTGCAAAATCATCAAGTTATAACATAAATTAAACCTAATTGACATGATACGAGAAGCTTGAATCGGTGAATTCGAAATTTCGAGGCTATAAAACATGCTGATCCTGTCGATTTTCGTATGGCAAACTAGATTTCAATCCGCTAAACTGTTCGATAACATAGCAACACTAAAATTCATCATATCAAACATTATAATTCAAATCGCACTTACAAAACAAAATTTTCGATCGTTGCTATCTCTGTGTGCAGCTTGCTCGCTATCGGTGAGATTATAATGGCGGTAAAACTTTAGAGGAACTATTTAAAAGTGTTGCGGTCAATGGTCGCCTCCTCTCATCTGTAAGACGTTCTTCTTTTTTATTTTTATTGGGTTAATGGATGGGCACTATTTTGAATTTATATATTTATATTTTATTAGGTTAAAACTCATAGAAATCACAGGTGATAAAAAAAAATATTAATGATTAAAAATAATTATGAAACATCAGTTTTTTATTAAAATTTTATTAAATTAAGTTGATTTTGATAGAAGGGATATAAATTTGAATAGAGTGTAAAAAAAAAGACAATCAATCATGCAAATGACATTAATATACGAAAATTTTAATATTAAAAAAATGTAACAAAAATAAATTAACAAAACACAATAAATTTAAAAAATTCTATACTGCTCTCATGTAAATGTAAACCCCTTATGTTTATTAATTTTAACTTTTATTGTTTTGAAATTCTTTATTGCTATCATGTAAACTAGATGGAATTAGATGCGCCGTTGGCGCTGTGTACCTTGTTTTCTTTCGTTATTTGAAATTGTAGCAGATAAGCGACCATATTATAGTATTTATGAAGGGATATTACACATATGAAATGGTTGTTGATATCAGTTACATAGGAAGGAGTAGATTACAAAAGATTATCGCATCAGACCACTACATTAGCAAAAAATGGTTTCTGGGAAGATGTAGTAAACATAGGAGCCCATTATTTTTCAATAGCTGCCTCAATCATATGAGATACAGATATGGGAGTAACCGGCACCTGTTAAGTTTCAAACCAATTAATCAGATTTAGGGTATGTACTTCCATAAATTTTATAATCTAAAAAAAAGTATTTGGTTTTTTAGTGTTGAAATTAGTTGAGGGGGCTTACAAATCCACTCAAAAGGGCTCTGAAATCAACATTTTCATCTGTTTCTTCTTGGGGAGTGTCTTGAAACTGCATCATTAATTATAAAATGCTTTTATTTCCATAAATAATGGTAGAAACTATGATTGAAATCCATTATTCCATATATGATAACTCATATTTAAAAACCCTACCTCTAGCCTGAAGTATTTGACTGTTTTATTGCGGTCAACCTTCCCTGATACACCAACTGATTCAACAACCTCCAACCTCTTCTTCTGTGAGTTTAATCTTCTTGCTGCACCCTTCAACATATAACCACAACAAACCAATCAAATTATAAAAAAGATCCAAACTTTTATAAAAATTTAACAGCTTTTATATAAATAATAAAATACATACTGCTACAGATGCGTCTCGACTAAGTTGTGCAAGTTGCAAACCCATGCCTGGTTGATTTGACATAAACCTTGCAGCTGAAGGGTTCCTATTGGCTACAATAACTTGCCATAACGGTTTTGACCTCCATAAACTCTGCTTTGTCAACTTAAAACCTTGAAAATATGAAAAGTAACGGTTTTAGTCCCTCAAAGATAAATTTGTAATTGTATATAACTTAAATATATATATAACAAACCTTGTTTTCTAAAAGAGAAGAATGATATGGCTGCGTTTATAACAGGTAAACAAACAGATGCAGCATCCTTGAATTCATTTTCTTGACTTTCACCTTTTTTCCTAGAACATATGAACATTTGATTTGATCTATTAAATGTGTATAAAACTAATAATCTTAAAGGAGAATTGGTTACTTACCAGTTTAGGGAGATTGGTAAAGATGGTATCCCAGTAATTAAGGCTTGTCTAACTCCAGTTATAGCACTCGAGGAAAACCTATTTTGATTATTAAAAAAAATGATTTTTTTTTAATTTCGGATAAAATTTGAGAATATTTTAGCCAACACATGGTTACATCCATTTCAGACAATTTGAGGCTACATAACCAACTTGCAAATCTCATAGCATAGACATTTGTAAAATTTACATGCCTCGTGCGGCCATAAACATTTTCCGTTTGCTTGTCCTTATTGCATCTGTAAATTGACCAAAAAAAGAAGTCATTTATCATATAACAAATAAACAATCAAAATATGTACTACCTCCAGCTCATTCATGGAAAACTGAAGTTGGAATTGGTCTTCAGGAAATTCTTTTACTGCTTATGAAGCACAACACAAGAGAAAATTAGCTTAGTTTGGGTTTTCATGAAATTAATTTTGCATAGATAGCAGAGAATACCGATACATGCTGGTGATGGCAACGGTTGAGCAACATAGGTTTAGGGTTGGAATTACTGATAAACAAACGTTCGCATTAATAGAAAAAACAACAAAACAAAATCAAAGAAATAGTAAATCAATAGAATTTTGTTACGGTAAGCAGAAACCCATGTAAAGTTACTCTAATCAAACCTTTTTTTGTGATCACAATGCATTCTTGTTTCAAAATCATCGGTTCATGGTGGTGGCAAGAAGGCGTCAATCATCTGTCTTCTTCTCCACATCTGTTTTGCCCAGGAAACTACCGTGTGGAGGAGACGATTCATTAGGTTGAAGGTGGGTGGGGTGTGGCGCCGACTGTGTTAGCAGTGGTCATTTGGTGGGAGAAGAAGGTTGGAGAAGGGGTTTCGAACAACCCGTTCAAATCAATCTACTAAAATTAAAAAAAATAATAAATAATAGAGTAGAATCGAACAAAAAAAACATACATGAGGCTAGAAAGTTACCTCCGCGATGTATGGCCTAAACACACACCAAAATCGCAGCTCTATGTAAATTCGACAGAACCTCAGACCACGAGGTGTTCGCCGGAATCGCTACCCTCTCGGGAAAATTCCGCCATAGCCTCACCTCTCACTCTAGTTGTTTCTGTCGCTCGGTATCTCTCTCTCGTAGATTTGGTTACCATCTTCGGAAGGTGGTGGTATTTGATCGGGAAATCGAAGTATATCGTTGGCGGTGGCGATGGCCTTTGTGTTTGCGAGAGAGAAGGCGGAGAGGGAATTAAGCAGAAAGAAAGAGGAAATAAAGAAAAGCGAACGAATTTGTATTGGACGACGAGGGGGCAAGGCGGCGAACCAAACGGATAAGAAGGAAAGGGAAGAAGAGAAAATTGGGGCTTTTTTATGAAAAGGTAAACTTCAGTGGCAGTAGAAGAAAGAGAAAAAAATACACTGCAACTAAGCTTTTTATGCTTTTATGGTATATGTAATGTAAACCTCTTTTGTTTATTCATATTGGTCTTCCTTATATTTAACAAATATAATAAATTCTTACCAATTAAAATAGAAAGCCTTTTACACATACAAATTTTGTTAACCTTGTATCTTGTAATGTAAGGCCTCCAAAGTCAAATTTAAAACCGACAATAAACCATTCCCCTTAATTCCTATCAACGATCATATCCAAACAACAAACTAAAAAGCATATTGTGAAAATTTTCAGTTTTGACATTGGAGTTTTAAACAAACACATTTCTTTCAAGAATGAACAACATAATTACTTTTATAATAAAAACTAAATGAGTTTTAAGAGTATTAATTCTGAACCTTCACAGTCAAAACCAAATTTCCTAAAGCAATCTAAAAAATGCTATAATCTTCATATAAATGGTATAATTATCTTATTAAGATGAAGTAAATGTTATAACTTACACCAACTTGAAAGTTGAATGTTATAATTGAAAAATATTGAAAGTCAAATGTTATAGTCGACATTCCATCACATTTGAATGTGATAATTGGAAAAATGAAAATAAAGTGATATACATTAACATAAATGTTGAATTCTTGAATAGAAAAATAAAATTAAAACTTTGTAATTGACATTAGAATGAAAGTTAAATGCTATAATTAAAAAAATAAGAAAACAATATTCTATAGTCAACAATAACATTAAAGTTGATTGCTATAACCGAGAAAAAATGAAACTA